TTTTTCTTATGGAAATGTATTTATTATAGAAATGAATAAACTTAATAAATTTCTTACCGAAATGTATTTATGATAGAAATAAATAAACATAATAAATTTCTTATAGAAATATATTTATTGCAGAAATGAATAAACAAAATAACACAACATTAACAAGTGAAAAAATTCATGAAACCGACATGCATGTTAATGTAAATCGCGTCATAGTAAAAAAAACCGGATCACATGGAAGTCTGTCAATCTTTTGCAAATCTTCGGCCTTTGAATGATTCGCTCCTTATTATGTGATGAACGTTTAGTAATAACATAAATAAGATATAATCCATATGCAAGTAAAAATATATTAGTAAAAAACTGCATCTGATTATAAATTGTATCTAATTATAAAAACAGTAATTTTACTTTCATTATATCCATCCGAAATCATCATAAACCATCTGAAAAATAATCTATGACATAAATTCGATTTGATTGGGAAGTAAATCCTGGTAAATAAGTAATTGGTCATTTCGAAAATATATATTGCCAGTTTCTAAGTCTCTATGTGGTGCAAGACCACTAAAATGATTTTGCCAACAACCAAAAGGACTTATATCTTTATGCAAAGTTTTCTTTATTTCATATATATTATTACTGCATTTTAGTAAGCTTGAACAAGCTAAAACTAACGGACAGTATGAGCCCTGTATTGCTTCTAAAGATTTATCCCAAGTCTTTTCCTTATTAAATTTTGCATCAAATCCTACAATCGCATTTGGTGAATTATAGTCTTCCGAAGGTGATGATATGAAATCGTGATACAACATAGGAATTGATATAAAAGAAAGAACCTTTTTCTCCTCGTTACAACGCTTACAAAGATTTTGATATATAATATTCTTATGTAATTTTGGATTTATCAATACAATTACTAGCCGCTTAATTTTAGGTAAAAGATGTAATAAAATTTCCCAAACCGGCAGACTGTTTACATCTACAGAATTTGCGGCTACAATATGAATAACAACACACTGTCCTATTATATTTTTTAAAAAATCTATTCTATCCAACCCAGAATAAATTGTGAGTGGATCGGAAAGGTAATCAGACCGAACGTAATCTCTAGTTAACCAATCCATATGATTCTTTCTGCGCGATATTACAAACTCGATACAAAATTCAAGCATCGTTTCAAATTTACTATTCTCGTTAACAAACTGGAGAAATCCATACGACATATTACTTGTTCTATCAGAGATAGTCTTGATATCTATATTCAGCAATAGTACTAAATCATCGCAATTGCTTCCACTATGTTTTGTCCGAAAAACCTCCTCGTGCTCATTGCAGTAGTTAATAGAAAAGCATCTTTGGCATGTCTTCAATTGAACCTGTTTGTGACACACATCACACGATTTTGACCACAAGATCGTCTGCTTCTCGTATGGCTCCAATACATGGCCAATATTCTTTTCGACTGATTCCAATAATTCTGTCCTTGATTGAATCCATTGTTGCCAGTCGCTGAATCTGCACGTGTATCTTTGTAATTTTTCTTGCAAAAGCTGCGGAATAACGGTGCAGATTTTTACGTGTTCCGTGCGATGATGCGTTTTATGCTCCTCACTGCAATAAGATATCAAGCCGCACGAATCACATGATACGAAATTACCTTCGTCCACTTTTTTGCAAACATGACAAATGTTCGGATTGAAAAACTGATTGTAGCATTGGGCTGTGCGTTGTCCACAATATTCAAATACTTTTTTGTTTGGATTCTGCATATCGATATAATTATTTCGAGGAATCTACCTATGTCTATATGTCTTCAGCAATATATGTCTACAGTAATAGTAAAACTTGAGGAATAATATGCAGGACTTCGATATGCCAACGGCAATTCTACAATTATTTATATACAATCTCGATATAGATATTTACACGGCAGTTGCACGGAAGACAATAATAAAATGTTTATATGTGTTTCTTTTATCGAGAATCGGTGTGTATTTGAAGTGTACTTGAAGACCATGAGCGGAAAAACAGTCAGAAAAAGAAATCCGTTATATAAAAAAATGTTAACTATATATTTCGGAAAAAGCAATTAGCTCGTGATATCCTCGAGAGATCGAAATGTTATTTAAGCTTTCGTTATATGAAATTAATTCCAAATTCAGTGTCGAAGGTGAGTTAATGTAAAAAAATAAATTGGTGAGAAATTGGCATTATTTTAACCATAAATTTCCAAATTTATCCACGGAAAGTAGGAACATTTCTATATTTGTTATAGAAATGAATAAACAAATAAAAAATTCGTGAAACCGACATGCATGTCAATGTATATCGAGTCATAGTAAAAGATAACCGGATCGCACAAGGGAAGTTAGCCAATTGTTTGCACACATGTGTCCCTTCACTTTGTATGGTTCCTTTATTCCTGTATGATGGACGCTTAGTAATAACACAGATGAGTTATGACTCGTGATATATAAATAACATTTTGTCAGTGAGAAACATTGTAACTGATTATAAAGAATACTAATAGATAAAGAATACTAATTTTATAGTAAGATTATAAAAAACAGTAGCTTTATTGACTTTCTGACAGCAAATTATAGACTGTGTAACACTAATAATAGAAATATAATAACCATTTAATAACCATTTATAATAATCATTTAATATAATATAATATAAATTAATTTAATATAATAACCATTTAAAATAATTTAAAATAATAATCACATATATATGTGTCACATTTACAGTAAAATCATTGAAATTATTCAAGCATCCGAACAACAATATCTATGAGCAAGTGGAAAAGTTTGTATAAAAGGATTTAAGTTCTCGTAAATAAGTAATTGTTCATTTCGAAAATATACGTTACCGGTTTTTGAATCTCTATGTGGTACAAGACCATTAAAATAATTTTGACTAAAAGCAATAGGAATTATATCTTCGTGCAGAGTGTTCAGTATTTTAACTACATTTTTATCGCATTTTACTATGTTTGGACAACCTAAAACTAACGGACAGTTTATGCGCTGCATTGATTTTAAAGACTTGTCCCAAGTCCCTCCTTTATCAAATTTTGCATCAAATCCTACAATCACAGTTGGTTTTTTAAATATCCCAGACGATATATAATCGTGGTATAACATAGAATACAATAAGAAAGAAAGATCTTTTTTCTTCTCGTCACAAAGTTTACAAAGATTTGGACGTATAAAACTGTCCTCCAATTTTGGATTTATTAGTACAATTAGTAATCGCTGGATTTCAGGTATTAGATGTAATAAAATTTCCCAAGCCGACAGACTGTTTGTATCACCGGAATTTGCAGCCAAAATATGAATAATAACAAGCGGTTCGTTTATAATTTCTAAGGAACCTATTCTTTTGAACCCAGAATAAATTGTGAGTGGATCTGAAAGATAATCAGACCGAACGTAGTCTTTAGCCAGCCAATCCACATGATTCTTTCTGCGTGATATTACAAATTCTATACAAAATTCAAGCATCGTTTCAAATTTACTATTCTCGTTAACAAACTGCAGAAATCCATACGACATATTACTTGTTCTATTAGAGATTGTCTCGATATCTATATTCAGCGATAGTACTAAATCGTCGCAATTGCTTCCCCTATGTTTTATCTGAAAAGCCTTCTCATGCTCATTGCAGTAGTTAGCGGAAAAGCATCTTTCGCAGATCTTCAATTTAGCCTGTTGGTGACACACATAACACGATTTTGACCACAAGATCGCCTCCTTCTCGTACGGCTCCAATGTATAACCAATATTCTTTTCGACTAATTTCAAAAATTCTTTCCTTGAATGAATCCATTGTTGCCAGTCGCCGAATCTGCGCGTGTCTCTTTGTGTTTTTTCTTGCAAAAGCTGCGCAATAACGGCGCAGACTCTTTCGTGTTTCTCACGGTGATACGTTTTATGCTCCTCACTGCAATAAGATATCAAGCCGCACGAATCACATGATATGAAATTACCTTTGTCCACTTTCTTGCAAACATGACAAATGTTCGGATTGAAAAATTGATTGTAGCATTGAGCCGTGCGTTGCCCACGATATTCATATACTTTTATATTTGGATTGTGCATATCGATATAATTATTTCGAGAAGTATTCCTATATGTCTTCAATAATATCACTTGAGGAATAATACATATTACCTCGACAAGCTAACGGCAATTATTTATATATAATCTCGGTTTAGATATTTATACGGCGATTGCTCGGAGGACAATAGTAAAATGTTTATATATGTTTATTTACTTATCGAGAACCGTTGTGTTTGAGGTATACTTGACGATAAAGAGCGGGAAGACAGTGAGAGCGCAAAAAGTTCGTTATATCAAATAGCGTCACTTATATATTACGGAAAAAGCAATTAGCTCGTTGTATCCTTGAAAAATCGAAGTGTTACTTAAACTTTCGTTAATATAAAATTACTTTCAAATTCATTGTCTAAGCTACTGATGTCGAAATAACTAATATGAGTTAATATAAAAAAGTAAATTGGAGAGAAATTGGCACCCCTTTAACCCCTAATTTCGAAATATATCCACAGAAAGTAGGGACGTTCTTGTATTTGTTATAGAAATGAATAAACAAATAAAAACTCATGAAACCGACATGCATGTCAATGTAAATCGAGTCATAGTAAATGATAACAGCGTCGCACAAGAAAGTTAGCCTTTGTATATAAGTGCCCTTCTCTTTTGTATGGTTTGTTTAACTAAGTGTATAATGAACACTTAGTAATAACACAGATAAGTTGTAACTTGTGACATGCAAGTAATATCTTGTCAATAAGAAACGTTGTAACTGATTATAAAAAACAGTAATTTTACAGTAGGATTATAAAGAACAGTAGTTTTATTGACTTTCTTACAGAAAATTTTAAATTGTATAATACTAATAATGGGATATATAATAATAATTAAAATTATCTAAAATAATGACCACATATACCTATGTTACATTTACAGCAAAATCATTAAAATTTTTAAAGCAACAACAACAAAACATCCGAACAACAACATCTATGAACTGATGGGAGAGCTTGTATAAGAATCTAAATTTTTGAAAACAAGTAATCCTTCATTTCGAAAATATATCTTGCCAGTTTCTGAGTCCCTACGTGGTACAAGGCCATTAAAGTAATTCCGACTAAGAATAGCAGGAAATGCATTTTCATACAGTGTGTCCGTTATTTTACATATATTTTCTTCGCATTTTATAAAGTTTGGACAACCTAAAATTAACGGACAGTTTCTGTTCTGTATTACTTTTAAAGATTCGTCCCAAGTTCCTCCCTTATCAAGTTTCACATGAAATCCTACAATCATAGTTGGCTTCTTATACGATTTGCATATCGAAGACGTTGATATAAAATCGTGGTACAACATAGAATAGCATAAAAAAGAAAGATGCTTTTTTTTCGCCGTGCAATGTTTACAAAGATCTGGACATGTAATATTGTACGTCAATTTAGGATTTATTAGTATAATTACTAGTCGCTGAATTTCAGGTACAAGATGTAATAAAATTTCCCAAGCCAACAGACTGTTTGAATTTACAGATTTTGCAGCTATAATATGAATAATAACACACGATTCTGCTATAATGTTTAAGGACTTTAATCTTTCGAACGTAGAATAAATTGTAAGTGGATCTGAAAGATAATCGGACCGAATGTAGTCTTTAGCAATCCAATCCACATGATTCTTTCTTCGCGATATTACAAACTCTATACAAAATTCAAGCATCGTTTCAAATTTACTATTTTCATTAAGAAATTGAAGAAATCCGTACGAGATATTACTTGTTCTACCAGAGATAGTCTCGATATCTATATTCAGCGATAGTACTAAATCATCGCAATTGCTTCCCCACTCATGGTTTGTCCGAAAAGCCTCCTCGTGCTGATTGCAGTAGTTAATAGAAAAGCATCGTTGGCATGTCTTCAATTCAACCTGTTTGTGACAGACATAACACGATTTTGACCACAAGATCGCCTGCTTCTCGTATGTGTCCAATGCATAGCCAATATTCTTTTCGATTGATTCCAATATTCCTTTCCTTGATTGAATCCATTGTTGCCAGTGGTCGAATCTGCGCGTGTCTCCTTCTGATTCTGCTTGCAAAAGCTGTTCAATAATGGTGCAGATTTTTAAGTGTTCCGCGCGATGATACGTTTTATGCTCCTCACTGCAGTATGATATCAAGCCGCACGAATCACACGATATGAAATTACCTTTGTCCACTTTCTTGCAAACATGACAAATGTTCGGATTGAAAAACTGATTGTAGCATTGGGCCGTGCGTTGCCCACGATATTCAAATACTTTTTTATTTGGATTATTCATATCGATATAATTGTTTTGTGGAACTTTTCTGATATCTTTAATAATATCACTTGAGAAATAATACGCATTACCTCGATAAGCTAACGGCTTGTATGACAGTTATACAATTATTTACATATTATCTCGGTTTAGATATTTATACGACGATTGCTCGGAGGACAATAGTCAAATGTTTATATGTGTTTCTTTACTTATCGAGAACCGTCGTGTATTTGAAGTATACTTGACGACAAAGAGCGGGAAGACAGTGAGAGCGAAAAAACTTCGTTTTATCAAAAAGCGCCACTTATATATTTCGGAAAAAGCAATTTGCTCGTTGTATCCTTGAGAGATCGAAGTGTTACCTAAGCTTTAATTAATATAAAATTATTTTCAAATTCTAGTGTCTAAGTTACTCATGTCGAAGTTGCTAATGTCAGTTAAAGTAAAAAAATTAATTAAAGAGAAATTGACATCTCTTTAACACCATATTTCCAAATATATCCAGAAATATAATCAGAATATAAATGAAATATATCCAGAATTATAAACAGACATTAGGAACATTCCTATATTTGTTCTAGAGATGAATAAACAAATAAAAAATTCATGAAACCGACATGCATGTCAAGGTAATATAAAGTTATCGAGTCAAAGATAAATCGGGTCGCACAAGGAAGTCAGCCAATCCTTTGCATATAAGTGCCCTTCCCCTTTGCATGGATTGTTTATTATAGTATAATGGACGCTTAGTAATAACACAGATAAGTTATAACTCGTGATGTGTAAATAACTTGTCAGTGAGAAACGTTGTAACTGATTATAAGAAACAGTAATTTTACAGTAAAATTATAAAGGACACTAGTTTTATTGACTTTCTCACAGAAAATTTTAAATTGTATAATACGAATAATAGAAATATAATAATAATTTAAAATAATTTAAAATAATAATCACATATATATGTGTTCCATTTACAGTAAAATCATTAAAATTATTCATGCATCCGAACAACAGCATCTATGAACCGGTGGGAGAGCTTGTATAAGGATCTAAATCCTTGAAGACCAGTAATCCTTCATTTCGAAAATATATCTTGCTAGTTTCTGAGTCTCTATGTGGTACAAGGCCATTAAAGTAATTCCGATTAAGAATAGCAGGAAATACATCTTCATACAGTGTGTCCATTATTTTATATATATTTTCTTCGCATTTTATTAAGTTTGGACAACCTAAAATTAACGGACAGTTTCTGTTCTGTATTACTTTTAAAGATTCGTCCCAAGTTCCTCTCTTATCAAATTTCACATGAAATCCTACAATCATAGTTGGCTTCTTACACGATTTGCTTACACAAGACGTTGATATAAAATCGTGGTACAACATAGAATAGCATAAAAAAGAAAGATTCTTTTTCTTCGCCGTGCAACGTTTACAAAGATCTGGACATATAATATTGTACGTCAATTTAGGATTTATTAGTATAATTTCAAGTCGCTGAATTTCAGGTACAAGATGTAATAAAATTTCCCAAGCCAATAGACTGTTTGAATCTACAGATTTTGCAGCTATAACATGAATAATAACACACGATTCTGTTATAATGTCTAAGGACTTTAATCTTTCGAACGTAGAATAAATTGTAAGTGGATCTGAAAGGTAATCGGACCGAATGTAGTCTTTAGCAATCCAATCCACATGGTTCTTTCTTCGCGATATTACAAACTCTATACAAAATTCAAGCATCGTTTCAAATTTACTATTTTCATTAACAAATTGAAGAAATCCGTATGAGATATTACTTGTTCTACCAGAGATAGCCTCGATATCTATATTCAGCGATAGTACTAAATCATCGCAATTGCTTCCCCACTCATGGTTTGTCCGAAAAGCCTCCTCGTGCTGATTGCAGTAGTTAATAGAAAAGCATCTTTGGCATGTCTTCAATTCAACCTGTTTGTGACAGACATAACACGATTTTGACCACAAGATCGCCTGCTTCACGTATGTGTCCAATGCATAGCCAATATTCTTTTCGATTGATTCCAATATTCCTTTCCTTGATTGAATCCATTGTTGCCAGTGGTCAAACATGTGCGTGTCTCCTTGTGATTCTGCTTGCAAAAGCTGTTCAATAATGGTGCAGATTTTTAAGTGTTCCGTGCGATGATACGTTTTATGCTCCTCACTGCAGTATGATATCAAGCCGCACGAATCACATGATATGAAATTACCTTTGTCCACTTTCTTGCAAACATGACAAATGTTCGGATTGAAAAACTGATTGTAGCATTGGGCCGTGCGTTGCCCACGATATTCAAATACTTTTTTATTTGGATTATACATATCGATATAATTGTTTTGCGGAACCTTCCTGATATCTTTAGTAATATCACTTGAGAAATAATACGCATTACCTCGATAAGCTAACGGCTTGTATGACGGCAGTTATACAATTATTTACATATCATCTCGATTTAGATATTTATACGACGATTCCTCGGAGGACAATAGTCAAATGTTTATATGTGTTTCTTTACTTATCGAGAACTGTCGTGTATTTGAAGTATACTTGACGACAAAGAGCGGGGAGACAGTGACAGCGCCCAAAATTTGTTATATCAAAAAGCGCCACTTATATATTGCGGAAAATGCAATTGGTTAGTTGTATTCTTGAGAGATCGAAGTGTTACCTAAGCTTTCGTTAATATAAAATTGTTTTCAAATTCGGTGTCTAAGTTACTGATGTCGAAGTTGCTAATATCAGTTAATGTAAAAATATTAATTGAAGAGAAATTGGCATTTCTTTAACCACATATTTCCAAAGATCCAGAAATATAACCAGAAAATAAACGAAATATATCCAGAAATATAAACAGAAAATAGGAACATTCCTATATTTGTTATAGAGATGATTAAACAAATAAAAAATTCATAGAACCGACATGCATGTCAAGGTAATGTAAAGTTATCGACTAATAGTAAAAGATAACCGGGTCGCATAAGGAAGTCAGCCAGTGCTTTGCATATAAGTGCCCTTACCCTTTGCATGGTTCGTTTATTATAGTATAATGGACTTAGTAATAATGGCTTGGTAATAACACAGATAAGTTATAATTCGTGATGTTTAAATGTGTAAATAAGGTGTAAATAACATCTAGTCAGTGAGAAATGTTGTATGATTATTGATTATATAAAACAGTAATTTTATAGTAAGATTATAAAGGACGGGAGTTTTATTGACTTTCTCACAGAAAATTATAAATTGTATGATACTAATATTAGATATATAATAATAATTTAAAATAATTTAAAATAATAATCACATATATATGTGTTACATTTACAGTAAAATCATTAAAATTATTCATGTATCCGAACAACAACATTTATGAAATGGTGGGGGAGCTTATGTAACAAGAACCTAAATCCTGGTAAAAAAGTAATTCTTCATTTCGAAAATATATCGTGTCAGTTTCTGTGTCTTTATGTGGTACAAGACCATTAAAATAATTCCGATTAAAAGTAACAGGATATACATCTTCATACAGTGTGTCCTGTATTTTACATATATTTTTTTCGCATTTTACTGAGTTTGGACAACCTAAAATTAACGGGCAGATTCTGTTCTGTATTGCTTTTAAAGATTCGTCCCAAGTTCCTCCCTTATCAAATTTCACATGAAATCCTACAATCATAGTTGGCAGCTTATACGATTTGCTTACCCCAGGCGTTGATATAAAATCGTGGTACAACATAGAATAGCATAAAAAAGAAAGATTCTTTTTCTTCGCCGTGCAACATTTACAAAGATCTGGACATATAGTATTGTACGTCAATTTAGGATTTATTAGTATAATTACTAGTCGCTGAATTTGAGGTATAAGATGTAATAAAATTTCCCAAGCCAATAGACTGTTTGAATCTATAGATTTTGCAGCTATAACATGAATAATAACACACGATTCTGTTATAATTTCTAAGGATTTTAATCTTTGGAACGCAGAATAAATTGTAAGTGGATCTGAAAGATAATCGGACCGAATGTAGTCTTTAGCAATCCAATCCACATGATTCTTTCTTCGCGATATTACAAACTCTATACAAAATTCAAGCATCGTTTCAAATTTACTATTTTCATTAACAAATTGAAGAAATCCGTACGACATATTACTTGTTCTAGCAGAGATAGCCTCGATGTCTATATTCAGCGATAATACTAAATCATCGCAATTGCTTCCCCACTCATGGTTTATCCAAAAAGCCTCCTCGTGCTCATTGCAGTAGTTAACAGAAAAGCATCTTTGGCATGTCTTCAATTCAACCTGTTGGTGGCACACATCACACGATTTTGGCCACAAGATTGTCTGCTTCTCGTATGGCTCCAATACATGGTCAATATTCTTTTCGACTGATTCCAATAATTCTGTCCTTGATTGAATCCATTGTTGCCAGTGGCCGAATCTGCGCGTGTCTCCTTGTGATGTTGCTTGCAAAAGCTGTTCAATAATGATGCAGATTCTTAAGTGTTCCGTGCGATGATGCGTTTTATGCTCCTCACTGCAGTAAGATATCAAGCCGCACGAATCACATGATATGAAATTACCTTTGTCCACTTTCTTGCAAACATGACAAATGTTCGGATTGAAAAACTGATTGTAGCATTGGGCCGTGCGTTGCCCACGATATTCAAATACTTTTTTATTTGGATTATACATATCGATATAATTGTTTTGCGGAACTTTTCTGATATCTTTAATAATATCACTTGAGAAATAATACGCATTACCTCGATAAGCTAACGGCTTGTTTGACGGCAATTATTTACATATCATCTCGGTTTAGATATTTATACGACGATTGCTCGAAGGACAATAGTTAAATGTTTATATGTGTTTCTTTACTTATCGAGAACCGTCGTGTATTTGAAGTATACTTGATGACAAAGAGCGGGAAGACAGTGAGAGCGCCAAAAATTTGTTATATCAAAAAGCACCACTTATATATTTCGGAAAATGCAATTGGTTAGTTGTATCCTTGAGAGATCGAAGTGTTACCTAAGCTTTCGTTAATATAAAATTGTTTTCAAATTCGGTGTCTAAGTTACTGATGTCGAAGTTGCTAATATCAGTTAATGTAAAAATATTAATTGAAGAGAAATTGGCATTTCTTTAACCCCATATTTCCAAAGATCCAGAAATATAACCAGAAAATAAACGAAATATATCCAGAAGTATAAACAGAAAGTAGGAACATTCCTATATTTGTTATAGAGATGAATAAACAAATAAAAAATTCATAGAACCGACATGCATGTCAAGGTAATGTAAAGTTATCGACTAATAGTAAAAGATAACCGGGTCGCATAAGGAAGTCAGTCAGTGCTTTGCATATAAGTGCCCTTACCCTTTGCATGGTTCGTTTATTATAGTATAATGGACTTAGTAATAATGGCTTGGTAATAACACAGATAAGTTGTAATTCGTGATGTGTAAATAACATCTAGTCAGTGAGAAATGTTGTATGATTATTGATTATATAAAACAGTAATTTTATAGTAAGATTATAAAGGACGGGAGTTTTATTGACTTTCTCACAGAAAATTATAAATTGTATAATACTAATATTAGATATATAATAATAATTTAAAATAATTTAAAATAATAATCACATATATATTTGTTACATTTACAGTAAAATCATTAAAATTATTCATGCATCCGAACAACAGCCTTTATGAGCTGGTGGGAGAGGTTAAATAACAAGAATCTAAATCCTCGTAAAAAAGTAATTCTTCATTTCGGAAATATATCTTGCCAGTTTCTGTGTCTCTATGTGGTACAAGACCATTAAAATAATTCCGATTAAAAATAACAGGATATATATCTTCATACAGTGTGTCCCGTATTTTACATATATTTTTTTCGCATTTTACTGAGTTTGGACAACCTAAAATTAACGGGCAGAGTCTGTTCTGTATTGCTTTTAAAGATTCGTCCCAAGTTCCTCCCTTATCAAATTTCACATGAAATCCTACAATCATAGTTGGCTTCTTATACGATTTGCTTACCCAAGACATTGATATAAAATCGTGGTACAACATAGAATAGCATAAAAAAGAAAGATTCTTTTTCTTCGCCGTGCAACGTTTACAAAGATCTGGACATATAATATTGTACGACAATTTAGGATTTATTTGTATAATTATTAGTCGCTGAATATCAGGTATAAGATGTAATAAAATTTCCCAAGCCAATAGACTGTTTGAATCTATAGATTTTGCAGCTATAATATGAATAATAACACACGATACTGTTATAATTTCTAAGGATTTTAATCTTTCGAACGCAGAATAAATTGTAAGTGGATCTGAAAGGTAATCAGACCGAATGTAGTCTTTAGCAATCCAATCCATATGATTCTTTCTTCGCGATATTACAAACTCTATACAAAATTCAAGCATCGTTTGGAATTTACTATTCTCATTAACAAATTGAAGAAATCCGTATGACAGATTATTTGTTCTACCAGAGATAGCCTCGATATCTATATTCAGCGATAGTACTAAATCATCGCAATTGCTTCCCCACTCATGGTTTGTCCGAAAAGCCCCCTCGTGCTGATTGCAGTAGTTAATAGAAAAGCATCTTTGGCATGTCTTCAATTTAACCTGTTTGTGACAGACATAACACGATTTTGACCACAAGATCGTCTGCTTCTCGTATGGCTCCAATACATGGCCAATATTCTTTTCGACTGATTCCAATAATTCTGTCCTTGATTGAATCCATTGTTGCCAGTCGCTGAATCTGCGCGTACCTTGTTGTGAATTTGCTTGCAAAAGCTGTTCAATAATGGTGCAGGTTCTTAAGTGTTCCGTGCGATGATGCGTTTTATGCTCCTCATTGCAATAAGATATCAAGCCGCACGATTCACATGATATGAAATTACCTTTGTCCACTGTCTTACAAATATGGCAAATGTTCGGATTGAAAAACTGATTGTAGCATTGAGTCGTGAGTTGTCCACGATATTCAAATACTTTTTTATTTGGATTATACATATCGATATAATTGTTTTGCGGTACTTTCCTGATATCTTTGGTAATCTTTGGTCACTTGAAAAATAATACGCAGAACCTAGACAAGCTAACAGCAATTACAAAATTATTTACATGTAATTACGGTTTAGATATTTACACGACGATTGCTCGGAGGACAATAGTAAAATGTTTATATATGTTTCTTAGTTATCGTGGACCGTTGTGTATTTGAAGTGTATTTGTAGACACGAGAATATACATAAAAGTTGACATATCTGTAAATGTAGCACATAAATATCAGGTTGTTCAGAAAGTCTTTTTGTATTTTATGCAAAAAGGAAAAAATTGTATTTCACGAAAAGTGCTTTTGTTTTAATCATCATTATAGTCTTCGCCTTGTATAATTGCTCTCTTCGATTGATGTATAAACTTAAAAATTCCACCCTTGAGAAAGGCACTTTGGAATTAATGAAAAGATTCAACTCTCTTTCAACTTTGCTCGGTGAATCGAATTATTTTTCCATGAAGAAAATTTTGCAGGGGTCTGGAAAGATAGTAGTCGAATAACGCGAGGTCAAGAGAGTATGGTGTGGGCGCTCGAGAAGTTCCCAATTAAGCTCTCCAATTTTTTTCAACGTCGATGCGCTCACATGGGAGCGAACGATGCTTTGTGGAAGAGGATATATTTACGGTTGACAAATTGAGGACGGTGCTCCTTGAGTTTGGAACACTTTCCACATACTGAAAGTAGAGATTCGTATTAATCTCTTGGTTTTTTGGTAAGAGGTCGTACTGGACAATTCTGTACACATCTCACTACGCACTTAACATGATCTTTTGCCTGTGGATGTTCCGCTTTAGTGTTCTGTAGGTTGTATCTCCGGACGTATACTAACTTTGTTTTCGTACCACATTACCATGTGGTAGAAGATGCTTTTTTCATCGCATGTAGTCAGTTGATTAAAAAAAGTTTCATTGCAATGCCGTTTGAGCAGCGTAACGCACTTAGAGATGCGATCGAGATTGTCCTTCTCGTTCAATACATGCGACACCCACTTGTTCAATTTTAGTACAAGCCAAGTTGGTAGAGGCTGTTGACAATGGTTCTACCCCGGATTTTGTCTCGAGCTCGTGAATGATAATATCTAAGATTTTTTTGATTCCGCTTCTAAAGTGCTCTTTGATGATGACCGTAGACTATCGGGAGGATGGTCTTTCTCCAGGTTAAAATCACTATTTAAAAATTTTTCAAATCAATATTAGTATGACCTGACGGTAATCAGATCTTGTCCGAAATTTTCACACAAATTTTGATGTATCTGAGACATGTTCATGCCCTTTGTACATTTGTGCAACAAAATTGAGCTAATTTGCTGCTTTGAAAGCTCCATTTTACCATTTTTTTATAAACTCACAATAGCTTATAGACGTTTTCCATCTGCAATAGTTTATCCGGCGAAGATAGATGAATCAAGACAATCGCATTTTCCTTTCCCTTTTGTTGTTTGCTTTGAATGTAGACGTGCCAAGTAAGGCGATTCAAAATACGAAAAGACTTTTTGATTAACTTGATATTTTTCCCCTGCGATAGTTATTCTTTCACTCACTTGTGGAAAATAATGACAGCTCTTGCCTCTGTTCAAGGGTATCGGAAAGAGCGGAAAGATAGCGAAGGAGAAAGAAATCCGTTATATAAGAAAGCGCCATTCATATATTTCGGAAAAATTATCTCGGGATATGATCGAGAGATCGAGATGTTACTTAAGCCTTCGTTAATATAGAATTACTTTCAAATTGTCAGTGTCCAAAGTGAATTAACGTAAAAAAAATTAATTGGAGAGAAATTAGCACGTCTTTAACACCAAATTTCCAAATATATTCACAAAAAGTAGGAACGTTCCTATATTTGTTATAGAAATGAATAAATAAATAAAAAATTCATGAAACCGACATGCATATCAATATAAATCGAGTTATAGTAAAAGATAACCGGGTCGCACAAGAAAGTCAGCCAATCTTTTGCATATAAGTGTCCTTCCCCTTTGTATGGTTTATTTATTACTGTATGATAGACACTTAGTAATATTACAGATAAATTATGATTTATGATGTCTCGTGATATGCAAGTAACATCTTGTCAATAAGAAATTTATAATTGTTTATAAAAAACTAATTTTATAGTAAAATTATAAAGAACAGTAGTTTTTTATTGATTTTTTGCATCAAATTATATCACATTCTCACATCAAATTATATAACACTAATAATAAAAATAATAATAAAAAAACTAATAATAACTTAAAATTAAGGGACAGCTTCTGTTCTGCATTGCTTTTAAAGATTCGTTCCAAGTCCCTTCCTTATCAAATGTTACATTAAATCCTACAATTAAAGTTGGTTCCTTATATACCCAACCCGATAATATAAAGTCGTGGTATAACATAGGAAATAATACAAAACAAAGATACTTTTTCTTTTCGTTACAATGACTACAAATAATAGCAATTCAAAATAATAATTTAAAATAATAATTTAAAATAAATATTTAAATGTTACATTTACAGTAAAATCATTACAATTATTAAAGCATCCGAACAACATCTATCAGGAGATGAAATGTTGAATATTTAAATCCTTGTAAATACTATGCTATACAACTAATTCTTCATTTCGATAACGTATATCGCCAGTTTCTAAGTCTCTATGTGGTGCAAGGCCCCTAAAATAATTTTGACGGAAACCAAAAGGAAATATATCTCCCTTCAGAATTTCCACTATTTTATATATATTCTTATCGCATTTTAATACCTTCGAATAACCTAAAACTAAGGAACAGTTTCTGTTCTGCATTGCTTTTAAAGATTCGTTCCAAATCCTTTCCTTATCAAATGTTACATTAAATCCTACAATTAAAGTTGGTTCCTTATATACCCAACCCGATGATATAAAGTCGTGGTATAACATAGGAGATAATACAAAACAAAGATACTTTTTCTTTTCGTTACAATGACTACAAATAATAGCAATTCAAAATAATAATTTAAAATAATAATTTAAAATAAATATTTAAATGTTACATTTACAGTAAAATCATTACAATTATTAAAGCATCCGAACAACAACATCTATCAGGAGATGAAATGGTGAACATTTAAATCCTTGTAAATAACTAATTCTTCATTTCGATAACGTATATCGCCAGTTTCTAAGTCTCTATGTGGTGCAAGACCCTTAAAATAATTTTGACGGAAACCAAAAGGAAATATATCTCCCTTCAGAATTTCCACTATTTTATATATATTCTTATCGCATTTTAATATCCTCGAATAACCTAAAACTAAGGGACAGTTTCTGTTCTGCATTGCTTTTAAAGATTCGTTCCAAGTCCTTTCCTTATCAAATGTTACATTAAATCCTACAATTAAAGTTGGTTCCTTATATACCCAATCCGATGATATAAAGTCGTGGTATAACATAGGACATAATACAAAACAAAGATACTTTTTCTTTTCGTTACAATGATTACAAAGATCTTGACGTATAAAACTGTCTTCCAATTTTGGATTTATCAGTACAATTACTAGTCGCTGAATTTCAGGTACAAGATGTAATAAAATTTCCCAAGCCGGTAGACCGTTTTTATCTACGGAACTTGCGCCTATAATATGAATGATAACAAGCGGTTCTTTTATAATTTCTAAGAAATCTATTCTTTTGAATCCAGAATAAATTGACAGTGGATCTGAAAGATAATCAGACCGAACGTAGTCTTTAGCGAGCCAATCTGTATGATTCTTTCTCTGCGATATTACAAACTCTAGACATAATTCAAGCATCGCTTCAAATTTACTACCTTCATTAATAGACTGGAGAAATCCGTACGACATATTACTTGTTCTACCGGAGATAGCCTCGATATTTATATTCAGCAATAGTACTGAATCATCGCAATTGCTGCCCCAATGTCTTGCCCGAAAAGCTTTCTTATGCCCATTGCAGTAGTTAACGGAAAAGCATCTTTCGCACGTCTTCAATTCAGCCTGTTGGTGACACACACAACACGATTTTGACCACAAGATCGCCTGCTTCTCGTACGGATCCAATGTATAGCCAATATTATTTTGGACTAATTTTAATAATTCTTTCCTAGAATGAATCCATTGTTGCCAGTCGTTAAACCTGCGCGTGTCTTTTTGTGGTCTTATTTCCAAAAACTGTGTAGTAACGGCGCAGGTTAAGCTATGTTCTATATGGTGATGTGTTTTATGTTCCTTGCTACAATAAGATATCAAGCCGCACCAATCACATGATAAGAAATTACCTTTGTCTACTTTCTTGCAAACATGACAAATGTTCGGATTGAAAAACTGATTATAGAATTGGGCCATGCGTTGCCCACGATATTCAAATACTTTTTTGTTTGGATTATACATATCGATATAATTGTTTCGCGGAACCTTCCTGATATTTTCAATAATATCACTTGAGGAATAATATGCAGAACCTCGACATGCTACTAACGGCAATTATATAATTTCGATACAGATATTTATACGACGATTGCTCGAACGACAATAGGAAAGTGTTTATATGTGTTTCTTTTGACATTGGCACTAGCGTTATGTATATATTTGAAGTATACACGAAGAATATACAAATGTTCGTTTTCAAGTTTAATAATACAAATAAACACCTAAAAGTAAATATATAAATGTAACAGATAAATAAATATATGTATGTACATATGTCATGTACATATTAAGAATTTTATGTTAAAAATCGGCATTAAATGCATTTTTGTTTTTAATATTATTTCTGATTTGTAAACAGTATTGTAGACTGCATCAGTGCAAAATTATACCCTTTGATGACAGATTATGCCTAATACCATATAGCAGCTATACATATATACAACACGCGTATGACTGTAAGATAATTATCAATAAATTTGAGATCAAGATGAAGCAAGAACAAGCTACAAAGTTTGTTCCATCATTTCCCCATTTTTATATATTACCTGATATTTTAAATTCATTCTCTGACAATCGTTGCGAAATTTTCGAAATGCTGTATATCTCTCTATTTTATCTGATTTATTTTCACATCATCTATACATGAGCATTGAGCTATTTACATAATTAATCACATAAATGTAAAATATATTCGTGACGTTATTACTACACGATATATCAAGGATCATTATATCAACTGTCATATTTTGGATATGTTATAAATGAGAATATTTAGAATTGTCAATTTGAGATATTTTTGTAATATAAGGAGCTTTATATATGTGTGTGTGTGTGTTAATTTTCAAGTAGAATATTCTGAATAAATTTGAAATACATAGAGGAAAGAATACATGTAAGTCATTAATAAGAGATAGTGTTATTATTATTAAAAATAGGATTTATTCATTTTCATAATTTAATTTCACATTTTAAATAAAAATTTCATGATTAAATTTCATAATTTGATTGTAACAATAATTTATAATAGCAATATAATAAATGTTATATAATAGTACAATAAATGTCCTGTTTATAATAATGGCACTAAAAAGAAAGTATGCATATTCTAGGTAGCACCAGATGGTGCCACATCAAATTGACATAACTTATCATAAATAATTAAATGTTCATTACAGAAATAAATATTACCAGTTTCTAAATCTCTGTGTGGCGCAAGACCACCGAAGTGATTTCGTCGATTAAAAATAGGTTTTATATTTGTACCTAGAACTTCTTGCACTTTAATTATATCCTTTTGCGCTTCTTGTTGGCATGAAGAGGTTAAAAATAACGGACAAGGGCGAGTCTGTATAGCTTTTATAGTTTCATTCCATATATTCCCTTCATTTATTTTAATACTTTGTCCTACAATTATACATGGTTCTTTATGATTCTGCGATACACTCATGAAACCATCGTACAACTTAGGAATAGTAAAGTAAGATAGTGTGTTTCTATTTCTATTGCATTGATAACAAAGTTTGCAAACTCCGGTATTGTTTTTTAATTTAGGACCTATCATAACAAGTACTAGATTTTGAATTTCGGGTAACAGGTGTAACAGAATTTCCCAAGCGTCTATAAGACTTTTTTTTATGGAACTTGCCACTATAATATGAATGACAACAGAACTTTTTTGCAAAATTTCTAACAAATTTATTCTGGCTAACCCAGAATGGACTGTCAGTGGTGTTGAAAGATAATCAGACATAATATAATCTTGAACATTCCAATCTAAATCACTTTTGTACATTAGTATAATATCGATAAAAAATTGCAGCATCTCTTCAAACTGGCAATTCTGCTTAATAAACGGAAAGAACCCGTACCATACGTTATATATTGTACTATTAGAAATAGTTTCGATATTTATATTAAGGAATAACGTCAGTTGCTCACATTTCGCGTAATCATGTTTCTGGTAAAAACTGTTCGTATGTGCACTACAATAGTTAACGGAGAAACACGTTTGGCAAGTCTTCAGTTCAGCCTGTTGATAACACACGTGACACGATTTTGACCACAAAATCATCTGCTTCTCATACAGCTCCAATGAATAGCCAACTTTCTTTTTAATTGACTTCAACAATTCTTTCCTTGATTGAACCCATTGGTGCGAGTTGTCAAATTTGCGCGTATCTCCTTGCGGTTTTACTAGTAAAAGCTGTGCAATAACGGCGCAGATTCTCTCATGTTCCGCGCGGTGATGCTTTTTGTGCTCCTCACTGCAGTAAGATATTAAGCCGCACGATTTACATGATAAGAAATTACCTTTATCCACTTTTTTGCAAACATGACAAATGTTCGGATTGAAAAACTGATTATAACATCTAGCCGTACATCGTCCACGATATTTAAATACTTTTGAACTTAGATCGCTCATGCCGACACATTTAGTTGAATAATTAATCCTAAATTGTTGATTCCTTAATTAATAATGTTATTTAAGGAACGAAGTTCAGAACTTTGATTTGTAAACGGCAATACTCGTATTCTTCACATGACGTCTCAGTGCGTATGTTTACGCGATGACTATCCAGAGGACAATAATAGGTGGTTTTATATGTTATTATGAATATTCGAAGTTATTGTCGATTTGAAATATAATTTGTGACAAAGGGAGCTACAGCAATGTTAGTTCCTGAATAGAAGATCTCGAATAAATATACAGAGGGAATAAATATATATATTTAAAAATTACGATATAGATGTAAGAAATGACATAAAGATGCGTATATTTATATGTTGGAACTTTTGAAAAATTATGTTTAAAAAATGAAGAAGGTTAATCTACCAAGCTGTTATATTATTTAACCATTATTAACAAAAGAATATTTTAAGTATAGTACAATTGAAGAAAAGAATGGTATGGACTTGAGAAATGCAAGCAGCTTTCAGTCAACATATCCTCATCACACTTATTCCCATGCAATCATTGGATAGTATTTTTTATATATAATTTCATTCTTTAATAACTATTGTGGAGATTAGTTGCCATAGTGGCATACTGTTTAGAATGTACCACAATCCACCGACACATCTATGCTCAGAGTAATGTTTTATCAAAGAAAAACACTATTAATATAAAAAGATACTATTTATTAAAATATTTCACTTTACTCATAATAATACTTTAATGTATGACCTATTGTACGGTAATGGTATTAGAGCGATCAAACAGTTATTCATCCATGCTGCTTATACTTGAACTTTGATTGTTATAAGTACATAAATCATCGTAAAAAATTAAATAGTCATTACGAAAATATATATTACCAGTCTCTAAGTTTTTGTATGGTGCAAGACCAGCGAAATAATTTTTGCCCATGCAGCGAGGTTCTTTATTTATTTTCAGTGTTTTCTGTATCTTAATTATATTATTCAGCGCTTTTCGTTCATATGAAAAACCTAGAAGTAGTGGGCAGCCTTGATCCTGTATTACTTTTATAGACTCTGACCATGTGTCTCCCTTATTAAAGTCGACATGTGATCCTACAATTATACTTGGCTTCCTATGTCCCACAGTCATTTGTATATAATCATGGTACAACATTGGAACGAAAACAAAGGAGAGCTTATTTTCCTTCTGCCTGCAAATCTCACAAAGCCCATGTTCTTTATAACCGCCTGTTTTCAATTCAGGCCCAATCAATATAATTATTAGATTATACAGTCGAACCTCAAGATGTAACAAAATTTCCCAAGCTCTTAGATCAACCATATCCATAGAGTTTGCGCCTATAACATGAATAATAACCTTCCTGTTCTGTATAATATCTGACGAAGATATTCTTTGTAACGTAAAATAGATTGTCAACGGTCCTGACAGGTAATTAGACTGTACGTAGTCTTTAGCAAGCCAATCGACATCATTCCTTGATATTAATATATAATTTATGTATAATTCAAGCATTTCTGCAACACGTATCTTCTCGTTAACAGACAAGAGGAAATGATAACTTGCATCAGTTGTTCTATCAGAGATAGTCTCGATACCTATATTGAGCAATAGTATCATTTGATCGCATTGGTATTCGTTATGTTTCGCATGGAAAGCTTTCTCGTGCTCATTGCAATAGTTGGCGGAAAAGCATCTCTGGCAAATCTCCAGTTCAGCCTGTTGATAACACACGTGACACGATTTTGACCACAAGATCATCTGCTTCTCGTACAGCTCCAATGAATAGCCAACTTTCTTTTTAATTAACTTCAACAATTCTTTCCTTGATTGAACCCATTGGTGCGAGTTGTCAAATTTGCACGTATCTCCTTGTGGTTTTACTAGTAAAAGCTGTGCAATAACGGCGCAGATTCTTTCATGTTCCGCGCGGTGATGCTTTTTGTGCTCTTCACTGCAGTAAGATATCAAGCCGCACGAATGACATGATATGAAATTACCTTTGTCCACTTTCTTACAAACATGACAAATATTCGGATTGAAAAATTGATTATAACATCTAGCCGTACATCGTCCACGATATTTAAATACTTTTGAACTTAGATCGCTCATGCCGACACATTTAGTTGAATAATTAATCCTAAATTGTTGATTCCTTAATTAATAATAAATTATTTGAGGGACGAAGTTCAGAACTTTGATTTGGAATACTCATATTCTTCATATGACGTCTCAGTACGTGTGTTTACGCGATGACTATTCAGAGGATAATAATAAGTGGTTTTATATGTTACTATGGAAGTTGGAAGTTGTTGTCGATTTGAAATATAATTTGTAACAAAGGGAGCTACAGCAATGTTAGTTTTTAAATAGAAGATCTCGAACAAATATACAAAGGGAGTAAATATAAATATTTAAATATTTAGATGGTATACATGTAAGAAATGGCACATGAAGATGCATATATTTATATATTGGA